CTTATACACACCACTTGAAACTACAGGCAATTACAGTGCCACCGCTAATCTCCACACTTCACACTTATATGCTAAGTCTTCCCCAGCCCCCAGTGTCTTCAACAGCCCTTTCCTGGTAACAGACGTAAACAGTGGAAATTCTTCAGCTTCTCACGCTCAGGTCCTGCCTTCAATATTCCAGTAAAGAACTGCCTGCCAAATATCAAATGAACTGGTTACCCCAATTATCTTCTTTATAACTCCTCAGTCTGGACCATGTATGAAAGACCCTGTTTCCCACATTGCAGGTGTAACTTTTGCTGTGGGAACATGTTCACCAAGCCATGGCATAGCAACGGCTGTTGTCTTGTTGCTTCTTTCGAAGTCTTTGCCAAGCAATGGGTCTATATGCCAAAGCAGAGAAATTATAAAATTCTAGTAGGGAAGCTGACCTATAATTAAATTCAGAAAAAATATATGTATGTATACACATATTCATGTTACACTATCAGACTTCAGAAGAGAATCATAATGTAAGGAAAACTAATAAATCCATAAAAAATGCGGCCAAGATCATATACTGGAAATGAGAGTTAACAAATAAAAATTACTCTTATGAAGAAATTAATACAGAGATTCCTTACTATCAGTTCAGAATATTTAATCTTTCCATCTCCTACACAGACGTCCAAACATTATACACTTACATGTTACTGTTAAAGTAAATGATTATATTATTTCACAGAATACCATACAGAATAACCGTGGCAACGAACTGTTGAAACAGTGGATCGCTGCCTAGGAATAACCATAGCAACGAGCTGTTGTGGCCATGAAATTTTCATTTTGATTTTATTATATCGTGTTACATTGCATTGGGATTGGGCTGAGTCGTTTACCGTAGCGTTCATTTCGTGAGTATAATTTATTTTTTGTTGTTTTTCATTTCGTTTTCTTAACTGTTTCCCTTATTTTCTGGTGCAATTGGCGGTCGGATTAGGCTGTGTCGAATGATCTGAGTTTGAATTGAAATATTTCGTTGCCTAGGAATAACCGTGGGAACGAACTGTTGAAACGGGAAGTACTGCATTTCTGCGGCAATGAGCACAGAACACGTGAAATGGAACCCTGAGCGAAAGTGCCCTCTATTGCGTCCGAAACCAGGTTATAATAGTCCAGCTCCGAAGAGTTTTGGGTGATACTGGACGTGATAATAATTGTACTCGCTGGTGCAAAAGTGAGGGTTCAATAAGTTATTCGTTGAATCCAAGACATGCGTGGAAGTTACGTTATTTCGTGAGTATAGTTTATTTTTCATTGCTTGTCATTTCATCTTCTTAACTGTTCTCCTTATTTTTCGGTGCAATTGGCGGTGGGATTGAGCTGTGTTGATTGATCTGCGTTTGATTTGTAATATTTCGTCGGTATGTAGATGTCACGCCTGTGACAGGTAAAAACAAGTCACATGTTCGGAATCCAGCAGTCGTTTCCATAGTAACGCTAGAACAGACTGTTGCATAGAATTCGTTGCGTAACAACGGATGAAACCGGAAAGTATACTTCCATGGAAATGCAATATCAGTGGGCCATTGCATAGGAACTGAGGTTCCGTTGCATAACGACGGATGAAACTAAACACTTCTACAAGGTGTTCTGTGCTAGCATTTCCTATGCAATAACAGTGGGCCATTGTGTAGGAATTGAGGTTCCGTTGCATAATAACGGAAGAAACCAAACACTTCTACAAGGTGTTCTGTGCTAGCATTTCCTATGCAATAACAGTGGGCCATTGTGTAGGAATTGAGGTTCCGTTGCATAATAACGGAAGAAACCAAACACTTCTACAAGGTGTTCTGTGCTAGCATTTCCTATGCAATAACAGTGGGCCATTGTGTAGGAATTGAGGTTCCGTTGCATAATAACGGAAGAAACCAAACACTTCTACAAGGTGTTCTGTGCTAGCATTTCCTAAGCAACAGATGAAACTAACTATAGAACAGACCGTTGCATAGGTTCCGTTGCGTAACAACGGATGTAACTGGAAAGTATACTTCCATGGAAATGCAATAACAGTGGGCCACTGCATAGGAATTGAGGTTCCTTCTTTCTTCCTCTTCTGTGCAGTCATTCTGCTTTAGTTCATCCAAATAATGCCTCGCAGAAGAACAAGCTTAAGTCGTCGTACTCTCAGAGCGGAAGCAATGCGTCGAGTAATTTCAAATCTAACTGGGGAAGAACAGGCAGACTGAGCCACAGCAGGGCGTGGCCGGGCACAGCTAGTATTTTTAATATTGTGGTGTACAGACCCATTGCTAAGCAGTGACTCTGTAAACAGCAGCTGTTGCTAGGTAATGCCTACGACATATATGCAGGCAACAAAAGAACAATGGTGATGAAACAGATCGGTAAACACGTGTCTACAACAATAGTGTTGTTGGAAACGGTGTTTTCTGTTTGGGACATGCAAAATGGTTACAAGGAGGTCAATTGGGAGTGATCAGTTAGTCCACAGCTGAAAGTCCGGCTGTGAAGAAAAGAGTTAGTTGCAAGACTATGGCTGTGAAAAGAAGACCTTATGTGTGCTGCAGTTACAGTGGGCCTGTTTTAAAGTCCATTGACAGGATATGACTAGTGAAGACTGAGAAGGAGCAGCATGTCTCAGTGATTTGTAAATCAGTGATAGCACTGCAATTATTTGTAGTTCCCAGTTGTGTCAACAAATCCAATATACAAGTCATAGCATGTCTAGTCAGACCCCTAAATCATGACCATTTTATAATCATGTCAAGGAAGATGTGATTGGTGGGGAACGTAGCATAAATAAGAAAGATGGTCAAAGTTTTAGTTGGAAAACCTGTGTGGGAATATCCCACATTATCACGTCGGGACGTGAGATATTCAGAGACAACTCTGAATATCTAGGTGTATATAGATGAGAGAATAATATTAAAACCGAATTTAAGGAAAAGTCATGGTTTGGAATCAACAGGGTTAGGATATGGCAAACTGGCAGGCTCTTGTGAGTATTGTAATGATCCTTTTGGGTGCATACAACCTGGGGAGTATCTTGATTATTTGATTGACTTCCTCTTGCTCCTTGAAGTTACGTGCATATTTTAGTCAACTTTTTACTTGGTCTTATAGGATTAGGCCTCTCGTCCACTGGAAGCGGAAAGCTGCGGAAAGTTGTGATGAGGAGTTCGTCCAAACACGCACGGAAACGGCCGAACGATCCTAACAGCTAGCATCAGGTTAGAGTGCGTCCATTGGTAGCAGCACTGTTAGTCAGTGAACGCACGTATACTTGCGAACTGCGAAATATCCAGATTGGTTTGGATTTTTCGGATGAAGAGCTGCATTCACCACCTACGAACTGATACTGTTCAACCGAGAAATCTGTCGAGTAGTGTTCCTGACATTGCGGACGCCTGTATTGAGTAAGGCACTGATAATATTACAACACAAAGTGAATATAATGATGCATTTTCTACTCCAGATTTTCAATCAGATATCGAGAATGATGCACCTGTAAATACGTCTCCGGCACAAAAAGAGCATTTCAAAAGTCCGCTAAAAAGAGGAAAGAAAAGAATTGATTACGATGACAAATTCTTCGAAATAGAATCTAAAAAGTTCAGCTACTTCGAAAAGAGCTCTCAAATGAAGCAGGATAGTGACTATCAATTTCTGATGAGCTTGCCTGAAGAAAGACAGCTGCGATTACGCATGAAATTGATGGATGTTTTACTGCAGGAACAGGAGGATCGAAACAGCAGCGTGATGTCCACGTCAAATGTTTCGCCTCTATCCTTTGAATCGACACGCAGTTCCCATAATAGTTCCCACAGCAATGAATTTGTAACAGACAAGAACAATGCCGCTGTGTATCACAGTAATTTCAATCCTTTGTAGAAACAACGGTTTGTATGTAGTCACTAAGAAGCAAGAATAATATAACATCGATGTAATATTTTGTTTTCTCAAACTCTTATCAAATCCTTAACTTAACGTTACAGCTAGGCGTTCTTCAGGTGAAATAGTTTCTCGGAAGTTACTGTACTTCTTCAACTGATGTACTTTGCTTAATGTGTATTCAAATGTATCTTGCTTCATGCGAAAATAACCAAAATACTGTGACTCGTCCTCTTGTAAATCACTCCATATATGAGAAAATTCATCAAACGTTTGTCTTTTTGATAAAATTTCACTAATCCACTCTTTTCTCCTATTCTGTGCTCGTCACCTAGCCAGTAAAGGAGTATCAAACGCGTACAGATCACATAAATCTTCAGACAGCGCCATGACAGAACGCGAATGGCATCGGCCGAACACGCAGCCAAAGGACGCGCAGTGAACGCACGAATTCGGACGAACAGATTCGCACAGATTCGGCCGAATCCCAGTTCGCAGGTTTCCGCTTCCAATGGACGACTAGCCTTAAAGTACTTTACTTTTCTTTGTGGGAGGGGGAACCATGAGTCAACAATAGCCCAGACAGAAAGTGAAGTAATGATTTACACATTATGACACATTCTAACTACAGACAAGCCAAAATGCCCACAATGGGCTGCAGTCAATTCAGCCTTCAATCCAGTGGGTAACAGGGACTTTGGCCTCTCCAGTAGACGTAAGCACAGCATGATGCTAAACGCTAACTTATATATGAACCAAGGTTATGAATGGATAAAACTTTAACTGTGCACCCTCTATATATATATATATATATGCTTTTGAGACATGGCACCTAGGCACTAGGCTGTCTTTACCCTTATGTTTCTCAGAGTTTTATGTATTCATTGTGTGGTAATTTTATAAACAGACATGAAAAATTAAAGGTAACTGAGGTCTGAGCACAAGACAAACCAGTAACAGATAAATCTCTCTGAGATGTGTACCCTCTCAAAACTTTGGGGGGAGAGGGGGGTCATATCAAGTGAGGGAATGCATGGTGGAAGATGAAAGAGGAACCGAAAAAAATAATGGCTAAAGGAGCTGTATGTGTTTCAGGGATTTTAAGCTGCTTTAAAAGGAAAACTGCATTTACTTCATTAATATTTCAACACCCTGGTAAAACTGAAAGAAAATGATTGCTCTGTAATTACAGCATGAACCAAATGCCCATAATAATTATAGATTACTACCTTCTGGAATGTGATGATAATAACTAACATTTGCCTTCATCTTCAGTGTAGCTACCCAAAAGATGAAGGGTACTTATCTACCAGACTACACAGCCCCACATCCCAGAAGGCAGTACCTTCATATTCACCACTACAAGAACCTGAAATCTCATCAAAATAATTACCACTTCTTCAAAAGTTTTAGAATCACCTTCAGCACCAGTAATAGTTCATACATATTTAAACAAAATAAAAACCGCAGAAAACATAAAAAAAGCATTAATGCCAGTGAAATCATTACAAACTGGTCAGATAATAAAATGATGTGAGGTATTACTGCATGAAATCTAATTCATTTGTCCAAATATTAGGTTCTCTTGACTCTTGGGAAATTCGTCTAAATTTTCTTCTGTTTGTGGGCACATCAATTTCATTTATTTCTTCGTTTTCTTGCACCTTCCTGGAAAGAACAAAGCAGAAAAAACATATTTTCGTGTTCACATCTCAGTAAAGTTGTAGTTCACAGTTCTGTGAATTATGAATTCTGTTTCATATATTCAGACTGAACAAATCAGCAACAAAAACATTAAACTGTACTTTCAGAATGTGTGATGCCTTTCTATTTCAAGTCTTCAATTAACACAGAATTTCATGAACTGAACTGGAAGTTTTTCAAAAACTACAGTGCAACAAGTTCAGAGGAAATACGTAGTGTGTTCAAAAAGTATCGAACCTTTGGTCGGCAGAAATACATTTATTGATTTGGAGGTACAAAACCCTAATCCCCTTCAAAGTAGTCTCCTTGGTGATGCACACACTTCTCCCAGCACTTCCGCCATTCTTGGAAACACTTCTGGAACGCGTCTTTTGGAATGGTGATCAGCCGGGTCGTCGCATTCCACATGGTGTCTTCTCTTGACTCAAACTGGGTTCCTTTCAGCGGCATTTTCAGCTTGAGAAATAGCCAAAAGTCACACAGAGGCATGTCGGGGGAGTAGGGAGCCTGACGAACCACAAGGATGTTGTGTTTGGCGACGAAAGTCTCAAATCAGATGCGCAGTTTTGGTACGAATTTCGCGGACACTCTCCTCATGTCCAACTCCTCAGTCAAAATTGAATGTACTGATCCAATGCTTACCCCTATCTCGTTCGCAATGTGATAAGACGGTCCTCCATGACCAAAGTCCGCACTTGCTCAATGACATTCTCATTTCGGCTTGTTGAGGGTCTGCCTGAATGCGGTTCGCTGTCCACTGATGTGTGGCCATCTTTGAAGCGGTTGTACCACTCCTTTATCCGTGAGTTGCTCATGGCATCATCCCCGAAAGCCTGCTGAATCTTGCGAATGGTTTCCACTTGTGTATCGCCAAGCTTTTGGCAAAATTTGATGCAATATCGCTGCTCATGTTGTTCTGTCACTTTACACCTTACTGGAATCCGACGAGCGCTCACTACACGTCCTCACTCATAGGCCCACTGCCAGTGACTGACGTATTCTGCAGGCGGGAAAAAATTCACGACTGCTCATGAATGTCCCCTCCACATCTCCACCAAAGGGAGCCTCCTGTGCTTCATTGGTTTACGCAGGAAAAAAGAAGGTTCGATACTTTTTGAACACACCACGTATATTCTGAAAAGAGCTTCCAACGTCTATAGTCTCATAGATATATTTTCAGTCATATAGAAATGCTTGAAAAATTACAAATTAATACTTGTATAATCTACATATCCATTTCTCTGTGTATGTCCACTAGAAGACACTCTGTCTATGCAAAGTTGGAAGGCATGAACCACAGTTTTCTCTTCATCACATTTGTAAATACTAACAAACAAAAATGTTTCATAGAAATTTTGTACATATGTTTATGGTCTACCTCACACTCTTAGCTTATCAGTTACCGTCAGCAAACAGAGAAGTCTTATTGTTATTTTATGGCCTACAAAAAAAAAGTTCACAAAAACTTTCATAATTTTTAATTTTATTTCATTTCACATTATGTGGAGACCACTGTCACTGAATTGGAAATTTACACAACCGCCAAGTTAGTATTACTGACTGTATGAAATTAAAAAGAAAAATGGCATAATGCTCTTCCAAGTTTGCATGAATATCTGCCATGAATATACCATGCATATACCATATTGCATGAATATACCAAAATTATAGGTGGGGGCAGGGCACATGCCCGCCACCACCCTCATGCACACGCACACACACACACACACACACACACACACAAAAGCACAAAAACAAGATACAAGTCTTTTATAAAATAAGTTATACAAAGATGATCCAATGAATATTACTTACCTTCCACTGTTTTCCAGACAATGATTTCACTGTTATAACAAGTTTGAACAGGTCTATGCAAGCATCCCTATGGTGGCAGAAATATGAGTTCAACTTACCTTTCCTTTCTTGGACTCAGCACCTGAAACCTTTACAGGCATTTCTTCTACCACTCCATTCCCTGAAACGTAATTAGTGTTGTTTGGTGCATTCACAGTCGCAACTGAGATATTCTTGCTCTCAGAAAGCTCTATGTCGTGTGTCAAAACTGTTTGATTAAGAACTAATGTTGGCATTTGGCCATTTACAACTGAGTCTGAAGAACGATCCAGGTTATTTAGTGTAATTTCATCTTCATTTACTGCAGTTATTGTAACGGAGTTTACATTAGATTCATCCTTTGTTTCAGTTAATATTGTGTGACTCTTTGCCATACATTCCTCTTCTTCCATTGTATAAATATTTCCAACAGATTCCTTCTCAGTTTGTGACAACTGTAAGTCATTTCCTGAATGATCACTTGATATACTATTATTAAGTTTAGGTTCTTCCAGGTTGATTTCAGAGTCTGATATGTGTTCAGGCATAACTGCCATACAATTTACACTAGTTTCTTGAACAGAATTTTGTCCATCTGTTGACTCTTCTCGAACCCCTGTTACACAACCCACTTCTTCCAAAATAGAACTGTTCTTGGTTTCTACAACAATAGGGTGTTCTTCATTCTGTTGTCCACTGCCATTTAGTGTTAGTTCTGTAACAGTTCCTTCAATAGGTGAACTATTCTCATTTTGCTTAAATATCTGTACTCCTTCTTTTCTGGGTTCCTCAGTCTGAGCTGAGAGGCCATGTATATCTTTATTTGACTCATGTCTGCACAAATCTGTTTTCTCAGGGCACAGTGAAGTGTCTGTCACAAGATCTTGTGACTTTTGCAAGGATTCTGAAGGCACATTTCCTCTGCCAGTGTTATCTGAAGGAAAAAGAAATCACAATAAGATGAAACAGGGAGTTGATATCATATAATAGGGGATTCTGTCACCTATATCACATTTCATAGAGGAATGAAGTAGATGCTGGTTTATGCTGCAACAAGGTGAGAATTAAACTAATCAGCATCAGTCAAACTTTGTTATGGGTAATGCATGGTTTCTCATGTAGTTTTCATAACTTACACAAATATTGCATAAATAAGCTATAAACTTAGTTTTCTTAAGGCGCTAAAGCCCTCAAGTTGGTATGCAAAGTACATACTTCTCTTCATTTAAACTATGCTACAGGCAGCAGCCTGAGTGTCGCCTCGCCAAATGCAAGCTCACACTCTGCCATCTCTCAGAGGAGAACCAAACTAACTACAGCATTACACCTCTAAAGACTGTAGTTTTCACTACCTGCCTGGTTTTTCCATCCACATGGTTTCATAGAAGCTATACAGAATGTTTTGACCTTCAAACCAGCTGCTTAGTGGCTTCAAAACTGTTTTATATAGTATATCATGTGGCCTGAAAATGAGGGATATAGCATGAAGAACTTTGTAACTATGATAATGGAAGTGACATAAATATTTATAAATCTGAAGAGAGTTTTAACTAAGCATTAAACTCAGAAAATGAGGAAAGTGAAGAAGAATTAATGGTGCTGCATGAGTGCAAAGGCCTACATTAGAATATCAGTGTGACTGGCAATGGGGAGAAGTTGACAATTCAGTTTTCTGAAATCAGTGGCCACATACAGTCTGTCAGAAGTGAATCAAAGGCTTTCAAGTTATATTCTGATGCTTCCATAATGGGCACTGTAGTTACAGAAACAAACAGGCATGCTGCAAATTTCATAGACACACACAAGAATAAACTAAAGCCATGATCCCCAGTTCTCAATTGGAAAGACAATAACAGCATTGAAATTTATGTTTTTATTGCTATACAGATTCCTATAGGAATATTTTAGAAGAAGTTTTCTTTTTGACAATCGAGGTTTTATGAATACATACAACAGGACAGATACAAACTGGGTTCACAATTTTTACGTTTTGTGAGTAATGATGAAATTGAAATTGTTTAATGAGAAATTATTCAAAATTGATCCAATTCTGAAACACCTAAACAGCAAGTTTAGTAGCCTCTACAAACTTAAGGAAAATACCATATTATTTCAAATAAAAACACACCCTCAAATTTAAGATGCATCCAGTTTCTGAATGTGACTTTTAGGGGAAAAATTGTGTAAACTGTGCGTCTTATATTCGAAGTAATACGGTATATCTCTTGAAGAATCCTGACTCTGTGGAAGGGCACACAGAATTCAAGCGGTACATTCACTTCAATGCTACTAAGTTCAGGATAAAATCCTTCACACTTTGTGCTTTATTTACCAGATATCTGTGGAAAATTGATGTATATAAAGTGGAATCACAACAGATTTGATAAACAATGTTGTCCCAGCTGACAGTGTCAAAACAAGCAAAATGGTTGTAAAATTGGCGGAACCACTTTTTGGCAGAGGACACATATATTATGGATGGATATTTTCTACATTTGTCCAGACCTCTGTCTCCTTAAGAAAAATGATGTAAACATAGCTGGGACACTGTGACTGAAAGGGAAGAATGTTCATCTGATTGTACAAGAAGCAAAACTAAAATTGGATGAACATACTGCTGTACAGAGTCAAGGAGTGACGGTGCTAAAGTGGATGAACAAGAAGCCCATGTATTTCTTTTACACATTTCATGGTGACACCATGGTGGCAGTTTCCAAGAGAGGAAGAGACCTACATAAACCAAGCTGTATACAGGAATATAACTTGTTTATGGGAGGAGTAGATCTGAGAGACAAAAAATTTAAACCATTTTAAACTGAGTGAACGAGAAGCACAAAGTGGTACACAGCACTGTTCAAGGGGCTGATAAATATTTTGGCACAATATACCGCCTTCATGCATCATGCAGAATCTAAGCCATCTCTCTTTCATACTTCACACAAAGGAAGACTTTAGAAGCCCCTCCTTCTGGAAGACCATCCTAGACACCAACACCTGACACACTGACAGCGAGACATTTTGTACTAAGGATAACCCCCTCTATGAAAAAGTCCAAGCCCACAATGAGGTTTGCACTTTGCTGCAAGACAAGTGAAAAAAGAAATGAAACGTAATTCTAGTGTAAGGACTGTGGAGTATGTTTCTGACTTGAGGACTTCTTCAAGATCTACCACACCAAAGCCAATTTAAATAGCAAATACAATATCATATTATAATCATAAAAACAATTATGCAGCATGAAATTTTAGACTCTTTGCAATGTCTTCTGAAAATTTCATAAACTTCTTTAAATTAATTTCTAAATATATAATAATTAATAATGCTGTGAAAAGCGTCTGCTACAGAACCATCCAAATACCATTAAGGGGGTTAACCATTTGTAACACAAAGTGTAATATGCAGTGCACAAAGCTGCCAAGTCACAAAGAACTCACAGGCATATAATACAGGGTCCGGCAACTCGACCTCCCGTATTTCAAAAGGCAGTTACAAACAAACAAAGAAAGATACAGAAAAAATACTTTTATTTGTGAACAACAAATACGATGCTATTTTACATTACTTGGTTTTAAAAATTATTTTCGGTAAATGGCGTCCTCCATTGTTCACACATTGACGAAGCCTTTTCCGGAATTTGTCCATAGTTCTTCGTGTCATTTTCGGTGGAATGGCAGCCACTGCCTGGGTGATTGCCTCCTTAAGTGCTTGCAGGGTTGTGGGGCGATGTTTGTACACTTGCGCCTTTAAGTGTCCCCAAAGAAAAAAATCACAAGGTGATAAATCGGGTGACCTTGGGGGCCAGGCGATGTCTCCTCGCAAAGAGAGAAGACGTCCAGGAAACAACTCTCTCAGAATTGCTAAAGAACGCCGCGAAGTGTGAGCTGTGGCTCCGTCTTGTTGGAACCAGGCTTGTCCCTCTTCATGGTCCCCAACAAACTGGTTTAACTTAGGTCGGAGGAAGGTCTCGATCATGTGACAGTAGCGATTCGAAGTAACCGTTACCGTTAGCCCATTTTCCTCGAAAAAATAAGGACCCCATACACCAAATTCAGCAACAGCGCACCAAACTGTCACACGAGGGCTGTGAAGTGGTCGTTGGTGAAGTTCCTGAGGGTTTTCTGCTGACCAGTAGCGGAAATTTTGTTTATTTACAGTACCTGACAAGTGGAAGTGGGCCTCATCAGATGAAATCAAAACAGCGCCAGAGGGAATGTTCTGAAGAATGTCCTCACACGCAGCTTTGCGAGTTTCAAAATCTCTCTCACTTAATTCTTGGGTAACCATCATTTTGTATGGGTGCATGTGTAGATTTCTGTGCAGGATTCTTCTTACACTCCTATCAGACAATCCCAGGGCAGCTGCATGTTTAAGTGCTGAACGCTTTGGAGATTGCTGGATGGACGCTCTCACACGCGCCACATTTTCCGGCGTTGTTACGGTCCGAGGTCGGCCAGGCAATTTCTTTTTCAGTGCAGAACCTGTTGCTCTAAAGTTTGATACCCAAACGTGAATAGTTTTTATATCCGTAACAGGATCATGTCGGCCAAGTTCGAACCGAATGCGAAATGCTCGCTGAGTAGTAATCACCGATTCACCATTACGAATATACTCTTCCACAACAAACGCACGATGCTCACCGTGCCACGCCATTGCAACTACTGCAAATGGCACTTATACCGCTATCAATTGATACCCCCTCCGCCGCCGTATCCCCACCACAACTCACACAGCGCCCTCTCCAAATACGGGAGGTCGATTTGCCGGACCCTGTACAATGGATTGAGAACTGTGCAGTTCAGTAAATAATATTGTAAAAATAATAAAAACTGGAGTCATAAAATCAAGGAGGTTAAGATGGCCTGAACATGTGGATTATATAAGGAAGACAAAAGAATGCATATAGAATTTTATTGGGATTGCAGCCACTTGGAAACAAGGCGACAAAACAAACAAACAAACTCTGTGGTTTTAGCCCGCAAGTGAATTATACCGACTGAGCGACTGCCGCTTGTCAGCGAAGTTAGTGCCAACTTTAGCAGATAGAGGGTTTCACGTGGTCAGCGTAACGAATCCCCATGGCTGTTAATTTCGGTTTTTTAGACCGGAGCCGCTATTTCCTTGAAAAAGCTGAGTGGACCCTGTTCCAGGCCCACTACTTCTCAGAAAAAATCTGGTAGCGCCGAGAATTGAACACGGACCACTGGATTTGTAGCCCAGGGCCATAAAATTAAGGTAATTGTTGGAAAAAATTTATTCACAAAATTTATTTATATAAAAAATCATATCTGAAAGTTGTGGTGCTTAAAATATGTGAATATAACTTTTTAGAGTAAAATTTTACATGTAACATTGAGGTTAGGAAAAGTACAGCTGCATGGGAGTGAGACAAAGTGGAACTGCCATTCATTTCAGTAACATTTTTACAAGTACCCATCATTTCAAACTAGGTTGTGCAATTATTACTTATCCCCATGTTTAACACTTCCAAATTACTGCTTATTATTCGTAATTTATTACATTACACATGCTACAAACTAATAGATTATACTGAATATAATAAGGCACTCAACATGGGTAGTCCCAGAGACAATAACAGCGTATGTTTATGATAATTTCCTCTTTACTATCTGCCTTCAATTTTCCAGAAATGTTACCCATATCTGAGTAGGGATCAATAAATATTAAAACAAGTAAGTTCAAAAGCAAAATAATGAAATACTGACAATGTCTAACAGCAGCAGGATGCAGCCAGTTCTAGATCTGCTGGCAGGGTTTATGCATACAGGAATGACAAGCAGCATTATTATGGCAGAGACAGTGAACACAAGAGGTGGATCATCTTGGGAGTGACATGACATAAGTGGCACATGGCAACACTTTATATCATTGTTGAAGGGCTGTGTATGGGATACATGAAGGCAAATAATGGCTTCA